ATCATGACTGGCAGTCCTCTGTCTTCATCAGGGCCATGTGGACTGGGCTTGCACGTCGTAATCCTGCCTTCTGATTGGATTTGTGAGAATGAAACATCATCAAATTGCTCAATGGCCACATTTGAATGGGCATCCATTGCTGCAGCCATTCCTGGTGTCCAGAGACGGATAGGGAAGGCTGCTTCTTCATTGTGAGAAGGCGGGACGAAAACAACAATGCAAAAACCAGGATAAAGCGATTCAAGGTGACCTGTGCTGATTGTCAAACGATTCAGCCAGATTCGGCATTTGCGTATTAAACACAAGTCCAACAATTTGGCTTGTTGTTGAACATTCCTCATTGTTGTTGGATTGGCCAAGGATACCGCAGCATGCCGTACATAGGCATGATCTTGGTCTTGTCGAACGACAGAAATGATTCCGGCCGAGCAGCAATCGTCAAAATACGCTTGCTCCAAAATAATGTGCTAGATTGGACTCCGTCTCTGTTTTGGGCGGATGTGGCCAGACAACCGAAATGCGCAAAGGAGTGGAAGGATCGATTTGATCACTCCAGCTGTCAGTGATTTGTTGATGCCATGTGCTCATGGCTGAGCCAATGAGGCGCACTGATCTGCTGATTTCACATCTTTTGGCATTTTGGTGGTTGACATACCACGTAGTTGCGTATGCAATCGACCCCTCTTCAGTACATTCGACCATTGCATGCATGCTGAAATGGTTAGACAATGTGTCGAACCATCTGGAGTCCATGTCCATCTGTGCTGTGACATCAATGGGAAATCTATGGACATGCAAATGCAATGGATTGTGATCTTGATCAAAACCTGAAAGACATTGGGCTTGTCTTTGAACAAGTGCAAGGGATGTTCTCGACCTTGGGGCGGAAGTGCACTCACCTAGTGATCCTGCCTCCATGTCATCGATGGTGATGGCAAAATTCAAAGCCACTTCCGTGGGCACGGTTTGGTCAAGTGGAGGCGTCGCAACAACCTTCAAATAGCAGCCATGTTGCATGGTTCTGACTCTGTTGTCTTGTTCCGCCCAGAGCTCATTGTTAAGGTAGACAAGGCATCTGTCTCCTTGCAGAAAGCAATAATTGGAAAGACGGGCTAGTCTCAAGACATATGGTCTTGAGATCTGCGATGTGATCCTGTGCACTCTTCTGGAAACTTCGGGAGCATTCAGCATACCTTGTTGTGCGGTTTGGAAATGCACTTCAGTATCCAAGATCACCAGTTGTTCGGTGGATCCTGTTGCAAGGTCTTGGACATGTTGCAAAATGACAGAATCTTCAGCTTCGTGTTGTCCTGCCAAAACCGCCTGCACATTGTGGATGCCAATGATGTTCCTCAATTGCTCTCGAAGAAACCTGGCAATATCATACAGAATGGAATTGTATGTTCCCCAGCGCACAAAACAGTGCACTACAGGTCGATTCAAGCGATATATTTGGACTCCTTGCCAATGCTCAAACTGGGAAGGGGAACCCGGAATTGGTGTGGCAGTCGCATGTTCTGAATCTCTACCCCAATCACTCTGATGGTCAGCTGAATTTCGTGCTTCTTGATCGCTCTCAGAGTTCGAGTGGGAATTCATAACAGCGTCACTAGCCTGAGCTGGATTGGGGCCTTGTTCGCCTGATCCAGCAGCGGCCTGTTGTGGTCTTGGTGTAATGTGCACTGAAAACCCATGTCCATCCATCATGTAATGTGCAGGGACAAATGAGTAGGGGATTTGTTGCCAACCAAAGTAAAAATTACAGTTGTTGCTGTTGCATAAATGCGATATATCGGCAGCTGCCGCTAGACCAATACCACTCACTTCATCTGGTAAGGAAATAGCTACAGCATTTGGTCGCAGGAATCCCTGTGCATCTTGTCTGTACACGGTAAGCAGACCCGCATATCGTTCTGCATCAGTCCCTTGAACGACAAGAACGTCAGCAACAATCTGTCTTTGGATGAAACTTCGGTCTGGGTCAGGCATGACAGTGAAATACTGTACATCATCCTGCGGTTGAATCATGTCACGCCCAGAGCACCCATCTGTGATCAACTTCGACGACCCGGGGAACAACCCAACGAGGAAAATGGTAATGATGGATATACCAAGTTCTAAGCAGGAAGCTGTTTTCCATCAGGAAGTCATGAGGCAGAGCTAGATATCCAGGGAGACCAAAAATATCAGTCACAAAAGCTGGCGGTGGATCAAATTGTGCTGGAGTGCGTTGGGCTTGTGGCACTTCAGTACTTGCCGCAGCAATTCTACCCGGGATGTTGTCGTGTTCGTCTGTCAATCTCATTTTTGCAATTGGTAATTGAGTCTTCAGATGGATATTTTTTCTGGTTGGATGTGTGATTTCACTCTGCGTCATAGTCTTTGATGGCTTTTTGGTCCATGGTTTTCCGGTCCAAGTCGCTAAGTCAAAGACATTCATAGTAGTACTGTGCATTTGAATCTCATCTTCAAGTCCAATGTGGATGGACGCTTTACTATGAAAGCGAACACTCTTAGAAAGGCAGGCGGTCTGATGAGAATTCTTTTTGATACAGCTTGATTTCGGTCGTTGCTGTTGCGCTTGCTTGCCTGTGAACACCACATCTTCTGACGTGTCAGTGACCAAAGGCATCACATCAAATTCAGAGCAGAAGGCATCCCTTGAAACATCAAAAGAATCACAGAAGACACTCCACCCTAATTTCCAAGCAGACATCACAGCATCAAATGGGTTGAGATAGTTGGCTTCATTTTGGATCGAATGTTGCCAATGTCGGAATTGATGGATATCAAAATCGGTGAGCTGAGTGTGGCATGCTGCACGCACCATTGGCCTGAATGCGTAGGCATCAGCAACACCAGCCAAAAAGGTGGCGTCGTGCATGTTATGCCTTTGCACTAACATAACACCGCCACCACTCAGGAGTTCATGGAGTCCGCAGGCACTCCAACAGATCCAGGAGCGCCAAATGGTTGCATTGAGCGGGAACGAGGACGTTTCTTTTCGCGCTCCTCGTCTTCCATTGTCAGATCTTCTACCTCTGTGTCCTTGTCTGCATTCTCCACATTGAGAGCTGCAGCGCAATGTTGCAGTACAGTCTGAAGCTGCCCCTGCAGCTTCTCCTCTTCTGCATCCGCATCTGTCATCCCTTCTTCCTGCTCTGCCGACACGGCTGTGATTGGCGGCATTGCAGCTAGGGTGGCCTGAGACGCTTTGGCTGAGAGGTTCTGAATCTCTGATCTGGCTGTTTCGATGTCCGATCGGGCTTTGGATGCTACTTCTTTGAACGTAGCCTGCTGTTTCTGATAGTCTTGCAATTGATTTTGCCATGTGGTGACCGCCTCCGTGATATGCTTGGTCCTGACGAATCTGTTGTTCTCCTTTTCCAATCGCTCGATCTCCTTGTCCATCTTCTCGATGAGCTCTTGAGTATCCGGAGGAGCTGCATTGACATCTGGGTACGCAATTCGGAGGGCTGCAACACATTCTTTCTTCTGTGCAAGAACTTCGACGTTGCTTGAACTGGCAGCAGCTGTCACTGTCGGCATCAGGTTCTGCGCAGCTCCTTCCACTGATGGCCATGGCGGCATCGTGACTGCTAGCGGCGCAAAAGGTGAGGAGCTGTAATTCGTGGGATTCGTTGTCTCCTGACCGCGAACACCTGAAGCCGTGTCCTTGGTCTTGCCTTTCATATTGCCCTTTCCTGCTCCTTTGGTTTTGCCTTTCCGTCCACGTGGACTCTGTGAACCTTTGACAGCTCTGGGGCTCTTTGATCGACTTTGTGATCGACTTGGACCTCCTTGCCAGTTGTCCCAATCTTCCCATTCTTCCCACGCAAATCTCTGTCCTTGTGGTGGCCACGCATCTCGGTAGGCAGTTGCTTGGTGCACTTTTGGTTCTGTACTGTGACGAACTCCAGTTGACCAATGAGAGTGACACACTACGCACTTCTCTGCCACTTTCTTGTTTATCCTCTGGCAATTGATGCACCGCCAGGGAAAAAGATCCTGGTTCATCTTTCTGCTTTGTCTCTTGATTTCGTATCGAATCCTTGTCAAGAATGTTGGGTCCTTGGAATGGTGTCCTGCAATTTTCCCGTAAAGGCGTTGTAGAGCCAATGGGCCGAGAACGCTCACCTTTTTGCAGTGCAAATGCCACGTGTGCCGTGCCAATGCACGTTGACGGCGCAAACGCCGCTTCTGGGTGGAACTCAGCGATGGAATTTTGCAGAAAATCGAAGCCCACAATCAAGATGAGAAAGAGCAGCAGAAATGAACACATAAATAATCAATCACGCTCAAAATTGTTGACACCAGGGAAAGTCCAGTTCAGTGTCAAAAATAAAATGGTTTCAGTCCTCCTCACGGTACAGACTGTGTCCAAATAGATGTTGTAATGTGCCCAAAGAACCAAGTGTTAGGTACACTTGCAGAAACCACCAAAATCAATGTCACAACACGTGAAGAGCAAGTTCAGGAAAATCACTGAAATGCACAACCAGTGTAACAAAGAATTGATATATCAGGTGTCGGGCACACCTGCAGAAGCCTGAAAATTTATATGGCCGCACCAGCGCTCAGCAGTTCAGTGCGAAAAGAAATCAAAATTCAGGAGGATGTACACAAAATTTCCAATGGCCAGCAAATTCCGAGATGAAAGGTTTGGCGAGGACAAAGTCGAACTCGCACAAAAAATTTCAATGAAATACCAATGCGAAAAGGAAAATTTCGCAGCTGACAGGGTTTTCCCAGGTTGACCCTCAACCTAACAGGTCCGGTACACTGTAGGTCCGCACCCGTGGGAGTTGAAGCCGAAGACTCCCACTCAGGTTATGGCTTGGTTCCCGAGTTAGATCGCGACGGGGGGAACTGAGCCAAGACCTTTGAAATATAATACACACATATATATATATATATAAACTTGTACACAAATACTCTCAGCCTTCACAGCCACGCCATGTCTTGTTTCGACCGCCAACGTTTATCGCTCAACGTTTCAGGTGTTGCTGGAGCCGGGGCAGGAGACGTTGCCCAATTTCTTGGCGGAACGCAAGGTCCATGTCATAGCCTCCTTGCCCAGTCCCTGGGACCCTGGGACCCTGGGGCTGTGGGTTGGATATCTTGGGGCCCTTGGGGCTTGGAAGGCTTGGAATATACTGGGAATATACTGGGTTCCCATTGGTTGGAGGAGTTTCCCGTGGTGGAATTTTATGGAGGGATATGAGGTAACAGGTTTGAGGCAGGTAATTTGGTAAGAACATGACATGGTGTGTTTGTGCTAATTCGAACGGATGAAATACATTTTTTTTGTTTGTTTTCAAGATGGGAAGAGATACATGATGATTGTATTATCAATGATAATACCATTGTTTATAGGGTTTCCCATTATTTATAGATGGTTTATACCATTATTTATAGGGTTTCAACCATCCACAGTATGATTGGATTTTTGTCCATGGGGATGATGACCCCAACTTTCCCAGATGTGTTGGTTGCAGCAGATCAGAGATGATCAGAGAAGCAAACGGCTGATCTTAATGGTATTATTAACAGTTTGCGAACTTGACAATGGCCCAGTCGAAATTCAGTGAATTGTCCCATTAAATTAAACATGGTGGATCTTTCCAAGTCAGTCTCATTCAGTCTCAGTTTTGCATGTGTTGTCCCAAATTCGAGGTGTTACCACCTGAAAACCACATTTCATCGCGTGATCTTGACCTGTTGGATATACCTTAAGCCATAGCTCTGCCATGACTGATGGCCTCCATGTTCCCAGAAATCCTCCAGAGGTTACGAGGCGGAACAAACCGACAAGTACCTGGAACTGAAGCGGGCGTCGACACGTCGATTTTGATGCCTTTTTTTTGAGGGGTAAATCAGGTAACTTGTCATCCCTGAGGCGCGAAGTTTTCCAGGTCACTGGGTACTGTACTAATGTGGAAGTTGACTTCACGATGGGCCGCCCCATTTTTGCGCCTGAGGATGCAATGCGGAATGTAACATGAGACTCATGAGACAAGGCAGAAAGTGTGGTTGATTCATTGAAGTGCTGAGTCAGCTGAGCCCATACGGAAAGTAACTTTCCGATTGCCATTGATCATCTTCAGGGAGATGTGCGGAGCTCAACCGGGAGATACTCTGCGATCATGGCCGGCACGCTACACTGTTGTGATTGAGATCCATTCAGAAACCATACAAACTATCATCACCTATATATATATATAGATATAGATATCATGAGATACCATCATATATCAGATATATATCATATATATCATGATATATCAGAACTATTCATAAATCATAAACGCATGGGCCTGACGTTCATACATTAAATCTGTTGCGTCATCTCCGGACGGTCCTTCAATGCGCCAATTTCTGCGGGGGCTCGGCATGGCTCTCCAAGGCAGAGAGGTCGCAAAGTCTTTGAACGTAGTGTGCAGGCGGATGTTGACCGGTTGGATCCACCGAAATCGCCGAAGAAGACCAAGGGCTCATAGAAGGAGTGGGGTTCACCTAATTATCTGATATCATAGATTTATGTGTCATTAATCAATGAATTTATCATCCATAGTTAAATGTGTCATAATGTGTCATTAATCAACAAAAATATCATCCACAATTCATAGAGGTTTGATTCCCAGGCAATGTGATATTCATACATTAATATACCCTCTGGTTATGACTAACATAGCCATGGAGTCATGGCCCATAGAAATAGATGGTTTACCTAGCTATAAAATGGTGGATCTTTCCATGGCGAACTGTTAAATAGCCAGATGGTAATCACTATTATCCCACTATTAACCACTATTAATCATCCATATGGACTATTATCCACCATTGGATATGTCAAGCATGAAGATCACCATTTTAAGTGACGTTGCAATCGGCTTCTACCCTGCAGGGATTGCGAATCCTGAACCAGCACGGCTATGGTGAAGGCGTCACGGGTTTATTATGGGCACCGTGTCATGGGATATTTCTCAAACATCAAAAAAGCTGGTTATATACCCTCTGGTAGATTAACATAGACCCTGAAAATCACCAATTTTTAGAGGAAACTAATCTTCCAACCCCGTTTTCTACCAGGGTCTATGTTAATTTACTGGAGGGTAATAGATGTTTATCCAATGTTACCCAATATGTTATCCCATTTTTATATATTTTAATGGAATCCCATAATATTACATTATCCCATTCTGGTTGATGGATAATGATCGATTTTGATCGCCGATGCATTAAATGGGATGATGTTCCCCAAGAACTGCATGGATTATGGCTACAGATGGGTACAGTGATTCAAGACGAATCAGGAACAATAAAGTCAGAAGGGTTTATTTTTCGGAACTTTCTGGATTTTTCGCAAAACACAAAATTTGTTTTCCAATCAGTTTTCATAACCATTATCTATCAATTAGTTTTCATAACCACTTGCAAAACACAAAGATTACTGTTGGATCATCGCAATGCTGGTGAAATCGCAATGTGTGTCCATTATTTCCCATTTGTTCTCGCTGAAAAATCACAACTAATATCTTGATTTCCTCACCTGCCGTATGGTAATTTAACATAGCTATGGAACATGAATGAACATGATCCATTTATTGATGATGATGATGATGATGATGCTGCTGATGATGCTGATGATGATGATGATGATGATGGTGTACCTAGTTGCAAAGGTGACTTCCATACTTTCCATAGCAATGTTTTTCCATTTCTTTAAGCCGAGCAGCGCGTCTTGTCGAGGCATCGGCCTACATTTGGACCTCGTCTTCAACCCCCCTGGCCCCTTCTTGCCGCCACAGCAGTGCAAGCGACTTGCCGGAGTTGATCAGCAGTGCGGATTTTCCAAAGCCAGTAATGTTTGGTGGTTTGGAACATGAATTTTGTGGCTTTCCATATATTGGGAATAATACTCCCAACTGACTATTTTTCAGAGGGGTGGCTCAACCACCAACCAGATGGTAATGTGATGATTACCCTTTGGTAAATTTACATAGCTATTGAACATTGCCCATTTATAGTTGATTTATAGTTGATTTATACCTATTAAAGATGATGATTTCTGATGTTTTTTGTGGGTAAAACACTGCCATTTTTACCACCCATGACTGGAAATGGTAAGCATACCACCTATAAAAGTGATGATGACTGGGGAATGGTTTATTTTTTTGTTTTACCCACATTAGGTTTTGATTAGAATGCCTATGAAACTGGAGGATTATTCCAGTCTTAACTGCTTTTCATGCATGTTAAATAGTGTTCAATAGCCCTCGTTCAGAAGTCTCCGAAGTCGGTTATGCCATTTATACTGTCGTAGAAACTATGAAACCCACCAACAGAAGCTCAGCAAGCTCAGTTGCGAGATCTTTTGGGATGGACATGTCCCAGGGTATGACGGTTATGGGTCCAAGGGATTCGCTGCTTATTGTGAGTGTTGCCCCATGTTGCCCCATGCCCCAGCTCTAAATCCCTGATTTCCACAAGGGGAATGCTACTTCGAGAGAAGCTCGAAAACAGGAGATTCGATATTGGGATTGCGACAGGTCATGGGATTGCTGATATGGGCCAGTTTGGTCACGGCCATGGAAACTTCTGCCAAATCTGCCAGGTTACCATCTTTGAATACGTTGGAAATGCCGAAGGAAACTTCGGGTTCAGTTGGAAGCCCACCGGCCCCAGCCCCAGGCTTCAGAAGCAATACAAGAAAGAGCTGGGTGACGCCTATGGAATCAAGTTTGATCGTGGCTCGGGTTTGGTGAGATGGTTTGAGGATGTTTAAAAGCAGCTACAAAAACCATCAAAAACCATGACATAGGCAGGGCTTCTCTGTTTTCACCTTAGTAAACTTCCTGGTGCTTAGTAGGGAATGGATGGAAATGGGGGTTGCTGTGATAATTATTGATAGCGATTATGGATCATTCCCTCATTCCCTACGTTTAGCACCAGTAAGTAAAGTGTGTAAGAATATGGCTCTGACTCTGGGAAGAGCCCACTGGAAGTTCGTCCTGGTCAGAAATCCAGGTAGGTGATGTGACCTGTCACAACCCCTCCAAAGCTGAGCCAAGGATTGGAATTTGTTCAGCAACTTCATAGACATCCACTAATACAGAATTATACAATAAATATATGCAATTTATGGGCCAACTGGAATATAATTATATTATATAATATGATATATAATCTGGGTTTGTCTGGAAATGGTTGGTATATCTCCACTCAAAAAGGCATCGATGGGACACATGGTGAATACGTGGGATGAGGGTTGCCAAATGGACAGCCAGCCATGGTAGCCGTGGGTCGAAATGTAAGGTACGGTGGTCATGGCAGCTTTTCGGCTCCGAAAGCATCCTGTTTTGGGTTACCATCTGGTTATTTAACATAGCGAACTGGAAAATCCATTGTAAATGGTGGTCTTAATGCGAAAATTATCTGTAAATGGGCCATTTTCTATAGATATGTTAGATAACCAAAGGGTACCACATTTGAACCCATCACCATTATGTTGGTATCCATCACGGATGATGAGATCTTTTTTTTTAACACTGCTGAGGACTGGTGACCATATGCAACATGCCAATCACCCGTTATTTTGACTTCTTGCAAAAGAAAGGCTGGGTGGTTGGGATGGGTGGTAGAACTTCCTATATCGCTGTGGAATATTTTCGCAACTGCAGTTGTTTGGTGCATACCTGGTCCAGCCTGGGCTTCCGATGATCTGGGATTGTTTTTTGCTTGAGGAGGGTACTTTGGGGACGGGTGCAGATCAGTTGCCAGAATTGAACCGCCCAAGGAATGATATACATACATATATATATGATATAGATAATTAACTATAATTATATATATAATATTTGAAAGATAACTCAAACATTGACATTTGAATGTCGAAGTTTCAGAACTGTGATGATGATGTGAAATCTGGGGATGGTGGCTTGAGTGTCAAAGATGCTGGTTGGTTCCACTGCTCAGCTGGTGACTGGACAATCACCCATATCTGCCATATCTAAGATATACTATGCCATATAATGATATACATATATATATATATGTGTATATGTATATGTATATGTATATGTATATGTATATGTATATGTATACTGTATGTGTATATATATATATATACATATATATATACAAACATATATACATATACATATACATACATACATGCATACATACATACATACATGCATGCATGCATACATACATACATAGATACATACATATAGATACACACATAGATCCATCCATCCATCCATCCATCCATCCATCCATCCATCCATCCATCCATACATACATACATACATACATACATTATATTCCTCAACTGGGTGAACTAAGAATGGTGCCCTTGAGATAAAAATGGCCAGCGTTACTCTGGCCGGCTGTTTTGTGCAGGCGCCCTAGAAGGCTATATGGATGCTCGGTTTGACTCGGCTTGGAAAACTACGGGTAAAATCACTGGAAAAACCTATGGGAAATTCCCTGGAGGATCCCTGAAGCATGCCGATGGAAACTGGTTGACTTTTCGGCCCATCTTTGCTGCTCAGCTCGTGAAAGCACCATATCTATTTGTAATTACTGATGACGGTGACGTGTTTATGAAGTCTTTGTTGATATCCCATTATGACGGATACCTATGGATACTGTACCTATTGTGATGGTGATTGCTTGTATGATACCTATGATGATGATGATGGTGGTGATGATGGTGATGGTGATGGTGATGGTGATGGTGATGGTGATGGTGCTGGTGATGGTGGTGATGATGATGATGATGGTGATGATGATGATGATGGTGATGATGATGATGATGAGGAGGAGGAGGAGGAGTCCTAGTGCGGTGGGGCCTGGGACATTCCTTGAACTCACTATGCATATTTTGATGTACACTCTGAGGTTTTATTGGTGTTGTCGGCAATCACAAGGTCCTTGGTGACCTTGGTGTCGTATGATTTTGAATTCAGGAGATTGCCACCCTTGAATTCCAGCTTTTACATTTTGGGGTGAAAACTTTGGTCGTGTGTCACTATATTTATGCAAGTGCGCCAAGCGAGCTGCTGCGCGCAAGATCTTCAAAGCAGGTACAGCAGGTGTGATTTCTTTGATCCATCACCAAGTGTTCCAATCCATCGTTTTCCCGTCGTTTCGTCGTTCATTCATCAGTTTTCTCAGAGTTGCTGAAAGTGATTTTTGATTTTCCCAAAGGTAAATCCACATATTCACATATATAAATCCACCATTTGAGGAATCTGTTTCGAGAATGTCGTGGGCATTTCTTGGGGTCAAAGCACATCTCCGAGTAACCGGACCCAGGATTTATTGGTGAGGAACTTTAACGAACAGACTGTGCCCGAGCTGATGTGCACCAACACGGTGAATGTTGGTTGGGACGGACAGATGTGCCCTGGCAGCGAAGAAGATCGGCCATATTTGCGTTGGAAAAGGTTGGAAAATGTTGGAAATCCCATCATTGTTTAAGGGTAAGAGTTGAACATCATCTAACTATGGGTTTAGCCCCTTAATGTTGCAATGCTGAGAGTATGGTATGTTTCAGACCTCTATATATATATATATATATATCTGTTTTTTCCCCACATCCATGGAGATGGCTAGATAGCTCCACGTGACCCCGAACATTTGGATGGTTTCAGTTCAGATCCCAACAATACCGGAACCTTTTTGGGTCCGCGGTCCGCACGTTGCAATCCCAATGTCATGGCATGGGCTATGAACATGGTACAATATTTACCAAACAAACAATTTGATTAGCATTAGATTCTGACACATTATATAATTAAATTTAATTGATACACATCATATATTATATATAGTATAAACAAACACACATGTCTAAACTCTTAGGTCTGGTACGTGTCCCGAACTGGAAATCCCCGTGAGGTACGACTGCGACTTCAACCAGCAGCTGGATTTGGGATTGGGACGCGGCTTGAGTGTTTTTGACGTGACATCCCTGGACGAGGCGAAGCTCAAAGATGTGGTCCCTGGGCGCGATGGCAGCGATGGCCAAAAGGGATGGGTTTTTTTCAGGACCGGCCGGCTGCAATATCTCGGCAGCAATGGAGTTGAGGTTGAGGTTTCAGCAACACCAGAAGTGTTTTTTTCAGCCCCATGTCGAACAGTTTCATCATGTTTCATCATGTTTATAGAATTTTGTTCATCATCATAATTAAACCATGTTTTTTTCCATGGGTGTTTCAAGTTTCATCACTAATTTCAACCAGTTTGTTTTTCCCATCGATGGTTTCACCTTTATGGTTTCTCCGATGGCCTGGTTCCAGCATCAAGGCCATTGCCACTGGAGGGCATTGTTTCGGATGCACCGCAGCTCAAGGGTCCGGCTGACAGGGAGCTCTGGTGTAGCGTAGCTAGTAGCTGACGCAGCTGACGCGACGCAAAGATTCGGAATGGCTGGAAGAAAATGGCTTGTCCAAGATCTAATACCTATGGTTGTTATGATGATATTATGTTATTATTAAATGATTAGTATCTATCTATAGTCATTATATGATTGTTTTTGTCTATCTTGTTTTATTACGATAGTTGTTATGATGTATGTACTATTTACTATCATACTATGTATTGATGATAGGACAGTGTTGAAGATGCTTTTGAAGATGTTTTGTGGTTATCAAATGTTCACTTGGCTGGCTCGAAATGAGAAGGCTCTACCCAGGTTGATTTGGAGATTCACATGTCAGCCATGTTTTGTGGAAACACCAGTAATCAATGGCCATTTCAGGTACCTGAATTGGAGGTACCTACCACAAATCTAAAGCCTATGTAAGGGCTAAATATCACGCAATATCCCCACAAACACCTACAAAACAGGACCAAGATTCAGAACCTACGAAGCACCGAAGCACAGAAGCCATTGATTCCCATGGGACATGTTCCTTCAAAGGGTCAACCTTTAAGCTGAATGGATCAATCAATGATCATTGCCATGGATGGTTCGAAACGACTGGCATAACTGGATGGTTCTTTCTATTTTGATGGGAATATAGTAGCCAAGCATTTGTCCAGAGAAGGGAGCGGTTTAAAGTTCGAAGCGCTATGGTTCTATCATCCCTATTGAAAACATGGGCAAGTGGAGCTACGAATAAAACCACCCACATGATGGATCATATCCCCATATTATCTAAGAAAATCGCCAGCCATGTAGGCCTTGTGTAGGCGACTGTAGTTCCGCGGGATCTGCGGCATCTGCGGCAGATGATGGCGCTATGTATCGATCGGTTGAGATGGGACCTGGTTTGAGCCATTTGAGTCACTGACAATTGCAGTAAAAATTGGGAGTTTAACCATTGAAGCATGAAGATGTGCAACAAAAACCACCAACATTATCAAAAATAAAAAACATATCAGGACATCATGATGGTTGTACTGTAGATGTTTTTTCTTGGTTGTACTAATTGCTTTGCTGGTGATTATCATAAGATACCATCATTTTAACCAGTGGAATAGGATAGGGCTATTGGATCATGTGGTGAAGCTTCCCTGACTCAGATCACTGCCCGCTTTGCTATACAATGTAAGTTCATGTAAGTTCATCTTACCCTCTGGTTATGTCAAAATAGCTATTGAAAATGGCCCATCGAAATAGTGGATTTTCCCATTAAAAATGGTGGATCTTTCCATAGCTATGTTAGTCATTACCAGAGGGTAAGATGAGTGAAAGTGTCCTACAGCCAGGCCAGCCTGCAGGCCAGCCATGGCCGGGGCTTCCGTTGTATCATCCCTTTGGGTCTCTGGTAGCAGCCCATCTCAACGGGATCGGATGCCAGAGAAGTCGCAAAGATCGCCGGAATGGATCACCGGTTGGGGAACGAACTTTTGTCCACATGGTCACATGATGGCATAGGGGCAAACAATGAAATGCACATATATATATACATATATATATATACAGATATATATATATATAGTTGTAACTATGAATCATGAAAACATGTAACAATGTACATCAATGTACAATATACATCATTTTTTCCGTACATGATGTATAGATACATACTCCATGGTGAGGCCAGCTACGCCTCTACCGGGGCTCTAGCAGCCTTGATTGCTGGTTGTTAAAACAGATGTTTCTTAAGGTGGTTTGTTACCAGCCATAGGGAAAACAAGCAGCCATAGAAAAACAACCAGGAATTCATATTGATTGTTCTTTAGGTTGATGAACATATATTTTTATTTACTGATTTCCAACAATTTAATATTGAACTAATTCCAGTAAAAAAATAATATTTATTGATGACTTCCCTGAGGAAAATGAGTGGAAACCTGCTTGGAACCAAGCTGAAACCTTTGGGGAATCCACAGCGTTGAAATTGGACTCCGGGATGACTCACAAAACATGGTTTTTCACCGCTGGTGATTTTAAGATCGCCATGGAAAAAATGATGATACCCTCTGGTAAACATACAAAAAGCTATGGAAAATCACCGTTTTTTTAATGGGAAAATCCACTATTTCAATCACCATTTTCAATAGCTATGTTAAATTACCAGAGGGTATTCAAAAAAGTGAACTTATCTACGGCTAATGTGTCATTTTCCATGCTGTGTTCAAGTACCAGAGGATAATTGGCACAACATGTTGAGTCATAGTTCTTGTGCTTGCCGCTTTGCCATGCCGACCTGTTCTCCGGGCCAAATGCAGGGGGCTCGGCAACCGATGTGCCCGCATGGCCAGTCACAGGTCACGTGTACATAGTCAGGGTTGAGCCAACCGGCGTACCCCGTGCATTCGGAGCGTCATGCCCCACATGAATATATAGTTAGATAGTGGATTGCAATAGAACGACTACCCCAATAGGGTCATCTAGCCCAGGAATGTCCAATCTCCTCATTTATAGTTATTCAGTTTTGATCGATTGGAATCCATTAGTGTGGGGTAATTGTTGACAAATGTATAGCAACAACATATAACCATAACAGCAATAGTGAACATAACAACATAGTAATAGAAACGTTTTTCCCCCTGTACTGTTTATTTCCACTTATTAAGTACTCATATTAGATTGATGCAGTCCATATTGGATTGCAATCCTCCACATCTTGGGTGTTGTGACCGTGGTGCATCACTAGCCATCCTGCAGCAGTTGGAAGCTCAAGGTAACTTGAGCGGTAAGTTTTCTAAAAAAGCCGCGTCAACCTCCCCAAGCAACTAGTAAGAATCCCTAACTGCGCTCATAATCAACACCCTCCCAAAATACCCCAACATATTTTTTGGTCTATTGACTTTGGCAAGTAAGACATTTCTGGTTGAAGCCACTCCATGGTGGGAGATTTACCTAAATTAAAAGGGGCCAGATAGAGGGGTTACCCGGCCTGGTGAACTAACAGTTCGCTCGCGAACTGGAAAATCACCATCTTTAAAAACGGTTTTTATCAACTATTTCTATGGGCCATGTTCCAGTTCGCAAACTGTTAGTTTACCAGGCCGGGTATATCCCATGAAAATATCCCATTGAATTACATTTTCAAATCCCATGGAAAATCACGAAAAAAATCCCAGGCCGGGTTTTTATGGTAGTACAAGTAGCAGGCAACGAACACCAGGACCCCTTTTTTGGGTCAACTCTGAATAGATCCGGGGCCTCCGGGGCGGATTAAAAAAGGCAGTCAACCCACATGTGACTCATGATGGATTTAGGTAATGGTTCTCGGATCTTTGAGCACATGTATATATATATTAATACGTATATATATATATATATATTAATACGTATATATATATATATTCATATATATATATACATACAGATAATTAAATATAACCATGTATTATTATGAATATATGTGTGCTACATTCAGATCATTCATATATACATATATACATATATATATACATAAATATATCGTACACTTGCTTACATTTCCCCGCTAATTCGTCACATGGCTGGAATTTATCCCTCAGCCATGATTTTCCTCCAGAAATGAACACTTTTTTTGGGGGATTTTCCAGCCATGTTGCTTACCGGGCTGGTGACCTTCAAAAAAGACCTGGTAAAATCCATAAAATCCAACAGCTACAGGATGGAATCCATAGATGTCCTTTTCCCATTGGTTGGTTGATTAATAGAGGGGGTTGAAGAAACCCCTTTAACAACAGGTTTCTATGATGATAGATGGTATACCAGACCGGCCCCTCTATTTTTACCAAAAGGACATTATTGATGGAATCCAACTAATATAAAAAGGCCAGGTTAGTTAGACCGGATCAGATGATCAGACCGACGGAATTTCGCAAAAACTGCCGCGGCGTGAAAAAATGCTGGAGTCCGGTTTCAGGCATTGGCTGCTGGCCGGACTCCAGCCCCACTTGGCGTCCGCATTTGATATGCAGTCTCTTTATAATATATCAAAAGACTAAGGGAATACTTATCATTTATATTACCATTTATATTACCATTTGTATATGGTACCATTTATATTACCATGTGTATATAATTATGATTATGATAATAGTAATAATATAAGGGAAGGTCTTAGGAGCTACAAGTGTCAAGACCCCAAGATTGGTGGCAGCTTTGTCCATCAAGAAAAACATGGTGAGTTTTTGTTGATCTTCGCAGGAATTCCAAGCGATAGATTCAATGTATTCCCATTTGAACTTCTTCTAGGTATAGATAGATATTATAGGGAATAGATAACCATAACTATAGATTCTTCAGGCACCACATATTATAGATAGATCATATATTCACATACATATTAGTGTCATATTATATATATTGATGAGACTGGGGATGGAACAAACGTGCTCTCTGCACAGGCGCGACTCATGGTGTTGTTGTATTCCTGGCTCAGCTTGCGCCGATTCGCCAGCCGTGGTTGAAGCTCTGGTTTTCAAGTATGAGCCATGGTCAATACTCACTATATGGTTGATGGTCATCCCATCCATAATAAGGATCCTTATAATGGTTATTATAAATCCCTATGAACCATTGGATGACTAGCCCCTATTAATGGTTATTAACCATGAGTATTGACCATAGCTCATATGGCTTTGTCTGAAAAATCAACAATTGGCATTTTTTTCATGGGGAAATTCTGACCGGGTCTTATGAGTATCTCTAAAATTTGACCATGTGACCATTCAGTATCTCTAAAATGGCATTTTTTTAATGGGGCAAATAGTATTTAGCCATCAAATTTGGGGGTACGTTTTTCTCAGACAAACCCATATGTTTTATGATGTTCTGCTAACATGAAACTGAGTATTCTGGGATAGATATTTTTAGTAGAGTGACTAGTAGAGTGTTGTTCAAACCCCAGGATCAAATATGTTGTATTTTCAAGCCACATGGCATTTTTGGTGGTACCTCACGTGGCAGTTACAGGAAACATTTTGTCTATGAGGATCCAGTACCCAACAAATTAAGGCATGATTTCAAAATGTATCAAGACTAAACATGACAAGTGTCTGGGGTTCCGGGCTTGACATTTTGACCACCTTTCTTTCCTTGTGATATATCAAATTTAATCGCTATCCCAATTGCTTATGCATTTCCTCTCTCCAGTGAAGTTGGGCTTAATCCCAATTACTGGTAGTATATAATCTCCACCTTCATAATCAAAATAATCACCGTCAAAATAGAATATGTCCCCATTCATGTAAATGTCCAAGAACGAACTCTCATTTTTACCGGAAAAAAATCCAGTACCCACATTGAACGCCACATTGTTCACGCTGTGACATGCGTTGAACGCCTGTCGCCAGGCAAGACATCGGCGCCTCGCCACATGCAGGTGACCTGGATGAAAGCGGTCGACGCTTCATGAAGGCGACGGTCGGTAGCGGCAACGGGATTTTTTCATGGTTAGCCTCTGGTTTTAATGGGAAAACCATGGAACAATCATCGGAAAAATCATGGAGAATCCCGAGAATCCCAACAATAATCTGATAGGGGAATAATCTGGTTGGTGGTTTGGAACATTTTATTTTTCCATATATTGGGAATAGTAACCCCAACTGACTAGTATTTTTCAGAGGGATTGAAACCACCAACCAGTAATTAATGGAACATCTAATGGCGTATCTACTGGTCATCAAAGCTCGCCGCTGGGAAATCCTCAACATTGAAGGAGCTGAGAAAGTCATCCAGTATCGAACTAGATAGATCTAGATATAGATAGATATAGATCGATATATATATATTATTTATTTATTTATTTATATACATATATATATAAGAAACTACTAGTACATAGAATATAGAATTGAAAAAAAAATACGTTTTAGGGCATCTTCAGGAATGGAAAAAAAAACGTATACATAGAATATCCCAGAGGTGTACATAGAATATTTTTTCAATTCTGGAAGATGCTTTTTTTGATTTGTTTGAATTATCAAAATTTCACCCATACTGCAGCATAAATGGACATAAATGGAGAGTTTTCAAATTTTCATCCCACTAAAATCTTTTGAATTATCAAAATATCACCCATACTGCAGCATAAATGGACATAAATGGACATTTGTCAAAATTTCATCCCACTAAAATCTTTTGAATTATCAAAATATCACCCATACTGCAGCATAAATGGACATAAATGGACATTTGTCAAAATTTCATCCCACTAAAATCTTTTGAATTATCAAAATATCACCCATACTGCAGCATAAATGGACATAAATGGACATTTGTCAAAATTTCATCCCACTAAAATCTTTTGAATTATCAAAATATCACCCATACTGCAGCATAAATGGACATAAATGGACATTTGTCAAAATTTCATCCCACTAAAATCTTTTGAATTATCAAAATATCACCCATGCTGCAGCATAAATGGACATAAATGGAGATTTTTCAAATTTTCATCCCACTAAAATCTTTTGAATTATCAAAATATCATCCGTACTGGAAGGAATTGGGTCTCTTTCATGTATAAGGGTATATATTTTATATACATAATTCCCTTTGGGGAGCAGCAACCCTGGATGTCTGAAATTCCTCAACTAGAACGTTTCAACAAAAAACAGGTCCCCCGAAATGACCAATTTCCTTTTATAATGTTTTTTTAAAAATATTTTTTCAAGCTCACTGAAGGGTACCCCCCACAACTGGTGTCGTAGAACTATGACAAAAACTATTTTGCAATGAACACCAACGGAAATGGGTGGTGTTCCTGGAAAAATGGATGAATATTTTCACTGGGGACCTATATTATGCAATTCTGCAAGGAATTGGGTCCTTGTCATGTATAATGGTAATTATATATTATATACATAATTCCCTTTGGGGAGCAGCAACCCTGGATGTCTGAAGTTCCTAAAACGTTTCAACAAAAAAAACAGGTCCCCCGAAATGATCAATTTCTTTTTATATTGTATTAAAAAAATGAGTTTCTGAGGCTCACCGAAGGGGCCGGTCGTGGAACTATGAAAAAATAATATGTTGCAATGAACACCAACGGAATTGGGTGGTGTTCCTGGAAAAATGGATGAATATGTTCACTGGGGACCTATATTCTATGTATGTAATTCTGCAAGGAATTGGGTCCCATTCATGTATAAGGGTATATATTATTTACGTAATTACCTTTGGGGAGCAGCAACCCTGGATGTCTGAAGTTCCTAAAACGTTTCAACAAAAAAAACAGGTCCCCCGAAATGATCAATTTCTTTTTATATTGTATAAAAAAAATAAGTTTCTGAGGCTCACCGAAGGGGCCCCCCCACGACCGGTGTCGTACAACTATGAAAACATATTGTTTTGCAATGAACACCAATGGAAATAGGTAGTGTTCCTGGAAAAAATGATGAATATTTTCACTGGGGACCTATATTATATGTATGCAATTCTGCAAGGAATTGGGTCCTTGTCATGCATAAGGGTAATTATATATATATATACATAATTCCCTTTGGGGAGCAGCAACCCTGGATGTCTGAAGTTCCTAAAACGTTTCAACAAAAAAAACAGGTCCCCCGAAATGATCAATTTCTTTTTATATTGTATTAAAAAAATGAGTTTCTGAGGCTCACCGAAGGGGGCCCCCCACGAACGGTGTCGTAGAATTATGAAAAAATAATATGTTGCAATGAACACCAACGGAATTGGGTGGTGTTCCTGGAAAAATGAATGAATATGTTCACTGGGGACCTATATTCTATGTATGTAATTCTGCAAGGAACTGGGTCCCTTTCATGGATAAGGGTATATATTATATACGTAATTCCTTTTGGGGAGCAGCAACCCTGGATGTCTGAAGTTCCTAAAACGTTTCAACAAAAAAACAGGTTCCCCGAAATGATCAATTTCTTTTTATATTGTATTAAAAAAATGAGTTTTTGAAGCTCACCTAAGGGTTCCCCCCCCACGACCGGTGTCGTAGAACTATGGTAAAAAAACTACTCTACCTTGAAAAAATTGATGAACATTCCCCTGGTTTTCATGGTCTTTCACGGTTGGTGTCAAAAAATATAGCTTCCGATGTCCCCCGAAATGATCAATTTCTTTTTGTATTGTATTCAAAAAAATGAGTTTTTCAAGCTCATCTAAGGTTACCCCTACAACCAGTGCCGTAGAACAATGAAAAAAACCTACTTTGCAATGAAAACCAATGGAATTGGGTGGTGTTCCTATTAAAAAAAGTGAATCTTCCCCTTGAGACTTATATTCTATGTATGTAGTTCTGCAAGGAATTGGGTCTCTTCCATGTATAAGGGTATAGATCAATTCCTTTTGGGGAGTAGCGACCCTGGATGTCTGAAGTTCCTGAACTGGAACATTAAAAAAACACCAGGTCACCCGAAATGATAAATTTCTTTTTGTTTTGTTAAAAAAAATGAGTTGTTCAAGCTCATCTAAGGTTACCCCCACGACTGGTGCCGTAGAACAATGAAAAAAACCTACTTTGCAATGAAAACAAATGGAATTGGGTGGTGTTCCTATAAAGAAAAAGTGAATCTTCCCCTTGAGACTTATATTCTATGTATGTAGTTCTGCAAGGAATTGGGTCTCTTCCATGTATAAGGGTATAGATCAATTCCCTTTGGGGAGTAGCAACCTGGATGTCTGAAGCTCCTGAACTGGAACATTAAAAAAACACCAGGTCACCCGAAATGATAAATATATTTTTGTTTTGTTTAAAAAAATGAGTTTTTCAAGCTCACCTAAGGTTACCCCCACGACCGGTGTCGTAGAACAATGAAAAAAACAGCTTTGCAATGAAAACCAATGGAATTGGGTGGTGTTCCTATTTAAAAAAAGTGAATCTTCCCCTTGAGACTTATATTCTATGTATGTAGTTCTGCAAGGAATTGGGTCTCTTCCGTGTATAAGGGTATAGATCAATTCCCTTTGGGGAGTAGCAACCCTGGATGTCTGAAGTTCCTAAACTGGAGAACATTTCAGGAAAAAAAGGTCCCCTGAAATGATCAATTTCTTTCTATATTGTATTAAAAAAATGAGTTTTTCAAGCTCACCTGAGGTTACCTCCACGACCGGTGTCGTAGAACAATGAAAAAAAACTACTTTGCAATGAAAACCAATGGAATTGGGTGGTGTTCCTATACAAAAAAAGGTGAGAGACTTATATTCTATGTATGTAGTTCTGCATGGAATTGGGTCTCTTCCATGTATAAGGGTATAGACGGTATAGATCAATTCCCTTTGGGGAGTAGCGACCCTGGATGTCTGAAGTTCCTGGACTGGAACATTAAAAAAGCACCAGGTCACCCGAAATGATAAATTTCTTTTTGTTTTGTTAAAAAAAATGAGTTTTTCAAGCTCACCTAAGGTTACCCCCACGACCGGTGCCGCAGAACAATGAAAAAAACCTACTTTGCAATGAAAACCAATGGAATTGGGTGGTGTTCCTATTTAAAAAAAAAAGTGAATCTTCCCCTTGAGACTTATATTCTATGTATGTAGTTCTGCAAGGAATTGGGTCTCTTCCATGTATAAGGGTATAGATCAATTCCTTTTGGGGAGTAGCGACCCTGGATGTCTGAAGTTCCTGAACTGGAACATTAAAAAAAACACCAGGTCACCCGAAATGATAAATTTCTTTTTATATTGTATGCAAAAAAATGAGTTTTTCAAGCTCACCTAAGGTTACCCCCACGACCGGTGCCGCAGAACAATGAAAAAAACCTACTTTGCAATGAAAACCAGTGGAATTGGGTGGTGTTCCTATAAAAAAAAGTGAATCTTCCCCTTGAGACTTATATTCTATGTATGTAGTTCTGCAAGGAATTGGGTCTCTTCCATGTATAAGGGTATAGATCAATTCCCTTTGGGGAGTAGCGACCCTGGATGTCTGAAGTTCCTAAACTGGAGAACATTTCAGGAAAAAAGGTCCCCTGAAATGATCAATTTCTTTTTATATTGTATTAAAAAAATGAGTTTTTCAAGCTCACCTAAGGTTACCCCCACGACTGGTGTCGTAGAACTATGATTTAAAAAAAATGCAATGAAAACCAATGGAATTAGGTTGTATTCCACAAAAAATGGATGAACCTTCCCTTGGTTTTCATGGTCTTTCACGGTTGGTGTCAAAAAATATAGTTTCTGATGTCCCCTGAAATGATTATGTTTTTTTCATATTGTATTAAAAAAATGTTTTTTTTAAGCTCACCGAAGGGTACCCCCACGACCGGTGCCGTAGAACAATGAGAAAAACCTACTTTGCAATGAAAACCAATGGAATTAGGTGGTGTTCCTCAAAAAAAAGGATGAATTGTATGCAAAAAAATGAGTTTTTCAAGCTCACCTAAGGTTACCCCCACGACCGGTGTCGCAGAACAATGAACAAAAAACTGCTTTGCAATGAA